AAGACCTGAAACGCAGCCCTCTTGCCCCACGTCCGTTTTTCCTGTATCAGAATGGGCGGAGACCCTCTGGGCCAGGCGTGAGTGGCCCCAGCCAGGACAGCTTGGCCAGGACAGTTTGATGAAGGGCTTCACACCACAGGGGACTCTGGGGGTCATTTCCACTTTCAGATGCGGGAACAGGCCCTGAGGCATCAACTAGGAGGGTTATGGGGAGGCTGCCCGTCCAGGGTGAGCTGGAGTGAGTGGCAATTCTTGCCGCCCCCTGCTGCTCCCCCCCCGCCCTGAGACCTTGCCCTCCGAAGGGCAGCCTTCCTTGTCTCTGGGGGTGCTTGGTGAATCACTGTCCTGAGGATGGGTAGGAGGGGCCAGAGGAGAGGGGGTGGTGAGAATCACACTGCACAGTGATGGTGGGGAGGGGCTGCCATCGCTGCACAAGCTCCTGCAGTCTGGCAGAGGGGCCCCTTTGGGTGGGGGTGGGCTGGGTGGGTTACAGAGGCCTCTGCTCAGCTGGGACATGCCCTGTGGCTGCCAGACAGCATCCGCTCTCCACATCCCCCGTGAGACACCCAAGCCTGTCATCAGTTATGTTTCTTGAGAATTTGGGGGCCATGGCTGTGAGGTGCATGGGTCCTGATACGGGGTGGGTGGAAGGTATGTCCTGCCCTAACGCTCTCGTAGGCGGGAGTGGTGTACTCCTGAAAGAGGATGGAGACAAAGGTAGGCCTTCAGTGTTAGAAATGAGCAGAGAGGCAGGAGGAGAGGGCAGTGGGGGGGAGCAGAGTGGGGAGTGGTGAAGCCGACGGCGGCCTGGCAGGACTGAGGTGCCAGCCAGCCAAAGCATGGTCCCCGAGGGCAAATTTGAATGTGCCCTGCACTGCAGGTGAGGGCGATGCTAGACCAATCCAAGATCCAAGAATGTTGTCCGAAATTTGTAATATAAACTTTTAGATTGTATTTCTGCTTGATCTCTTTCTCTTAAATTATTTTTAATTTTATATTTAATATTTTTCCTTTATTAAGTTCTCCTGTTTCCTTTTTAAGTTTTTTTTAGGGTGGGGTAATTAGGGTTATTTACTTATTTACTTTTAGAGGAGGGACTGGGAATTGAACCCAAGACCTCGTGCGTGTTAAGCATGTCCTCTAACACTTCAGCTGCACCCTCCCCCGTTCTCTCTCTTAGGAAAGGAAACAGCAAGGCAGGTCTGGCTGTTCCAGTTCCCGCTGACCAGGATTTTAGTGCACTCAGCTTTCGTTGGCTCACTAGAATTCACTGTGATGTGGGGCGTTTAACAACGCCATCATTTTCACTGCTGGGAATGGAGAATGAGATCGAGTGCGGGTCAGTCGCTCTAATGGAGCTAAGTAGCCCTGCTGGGCGGACCGGTCCATCGGCTGTCTCCACAGCTGCTTCCAGAACCAGTGACTGGAGTCTGAGAGCAAAAGGGTCAGGGGTCCAGGGAGGCTCTTTGGCACAGGCTCTGCAGGCCCCACGAGCAGGAACGTTCACCTGGATGGCCGGGTCCCCAGCTCTCTCTGCATCACTCCTTGGGTGATCCTGTGAATGAGGTGAGGAGGCCTGAGAAACGCCCTTCGCCTGAGGCAGGTCCCGAGTTCCCGCTGACAGCGTCACTAGGGCAAAGTGAGACTGGAAACTGGTGTATTTGTAGATGAAATTTCTTTGGGAAGTAATTTCTGTTTTATCTACAATCCTCTGGCTAATGTTTAAAACTAGTAATTACAATGCTGTCTAAGAGTTTTGGAATAAGCAGATTTTAATAAAGAAAAGCTGTTTTAGGGCGTAAGAGGGGCTTGGCAAATGGGAGGAGTAGTGAGTGACTAACAGATGGGCGTCCTGGGCCGGGGCCCAGAGCGGGTGAGGGGCGCAGCCGAGAGGAAGATGAGAGTGAACACACTGGGCAGCACCACAGCGGTGCCCGGGCCCCAGGGAGGGAACCCGCGTGGTAGCCGCGCCCACACGGCAGGAGCCACGGAAGTTGCTGTAAGTGGGCACGCACAGGCCTGTTTTTTGTCTGTTTCCGACAGCATCTGCGGTGCCCACTCTGCAAGTTGAGGTCGGTGCCTTGCCCCCGCCCCACCCCTGTCCTTTCCTCTCCCAGATGGTTACTTTTATATTCTGAGGCTGATAGACATGCCTTTTGTTCTGTAACCATAATTAACCCCCTTGGTCTCGGTGTGGGGTGCATAGTGTGCATGCCTGAGACACCCCACGCGTGGGGTTCCCCGTCCTGGTGTCACCGCGCTGGCTGCAGACCACCCTCCCCCTCCGCGTCGGTCCTGTGAGGTGGGCCTGAACTGGGTCACAATGGGAGTGTTTCCACCCCACGCTGGCACCTGCAGGTCAGCCTTTGATTTGTCGCTTTGTGGAGCGTCTTGACTTAAGAAAGGGACAGAGAACACGTTAGCAGCGTGGATTAAACTAAAACCATGTTGAAGCCAGCACACTTGAACAGCACGAGAAAATGGAGGAAATACCCTTTTGGTATTAGAAAAATAACCCAATTCAGCCAAGAGCTCGTTGACAAGCAGAAGACCAGACTTGGTTTTGTGGCTTCATTTTGATCTTATCCATCAAAGCAAAAAAAAGAAAGAAAAACCCACAAACTCTTGTGTGGGAACAACCCTCACTGGTCAGTTACAGCCAGAGGTTCCCTATAGACACAAGAGTTCACCGAAAGTCAACAGAAGTGTTCAGTGAGAATCGGCTGTTTGTACAGAGCGTATAGCGAAGAATATTGTGCATTCTTTGGAAATTATTTGCAGACTGTGTGCTCCAGATAATTTACTAAGACTTATGATAGGCTTACGGGCATACGTCTCTGTCCCCGAGAGCCGGCTGTTAAAACTTGGCCCGCGGCTACAGCCGCCTGCGCTGGGGGAGTGGGCAGGCCTGCTCGGAGTCTTCTGGGCTGGGCTCCCGTCTCCCTGCTCTGGGACCTCCCCCCTGTTCCAGGGCTTCCATCAGGGCAGATGCAGTGGTGAGTGGGGGGTACCCACATGTTCTCACCCCCGCTTACTTGCCGGAAATGACTTGTGGCTGAGATTAAGACGACACAAGACAGCCTCCTTCTCAGCAGTCTCTAAGGGCTGGTCCTGGCCAGCCACCTGGCCCTCTCTCTCATCGTCCTGACACTCCAGGGCTCTGCCTGTGGCCATGGCCGAGCCATCCTTCCTCCTGGTCTGGACCTGCTCTGTCCTGCACCTGGGCATACTCGGGAGCTGAGGGGGCCCTGCAGCTGCACCTCAAAGGTCTGTTGCTTCTAGAGATATTTGGGGTCGTCTGGCCTGAGGGGACGCTGGTTCACGGGCACTCCTGAAGTGGCAGAAGGCTGGCAGGTGATGGGCCCCTGCCCAAGACACACTGTGTGGGTGGAGGGCTAGGGTCACCCCTGCAAATGCCAAGCCTGGGCTGGGCTGGAAGCTCTCCCGAGCAGGGGTGGAGGACCTTGAGGGTTTCACCGTGGACAATTTTCCCGAGCTGCTCCTGAATGGAACCCACCATGTAGTGTACAAGGGGTGTGTTTGTGACAGTGGGTTTAGCTCACAGGATAATCCCAGAGACATAAAGTAGGGGTGGGGGGGGAGGGTTGTGCAGCCAGGAAAAGCTGCCATGTGCCAGGGTCCTGTGGCCAGCCTCCTCTCAGGACTGACCCACCATGTGTGTGTGGGCCTGGGGGACAGGAGGGCACAGGGCTTTCTGATCATGTTCAGATCCTCCCTGGAGTAAGGAGGCAGCCTGTGTGGCCTCCCACTCAGGTCTCATCAGTGGCTACTTTCCCTACGTGCCGTCTGCCATCCACACGGGCAGTGTCTCTCCAGGCATAATTAAAGGAAAACGAACATTGCGGGGCCATTATAAGACAGGACACTCGCCCTCGCTTTCTGAGGCTGTAAACACGATGTGGCCCGTTGTTGGATTATTATGAAAGATGAATTTCAACAAAACCTAAAATATCATCAGTGAGCACACTCAGCTTTACGGTTCACAAACCAGCTGCTGGATTGCAGGCACAAGGGGCCTGCGAGGAGCGCCTGGCCTTTCCCAGCAGAGCTCGGCCTGAGAACGTGGATTTTCTCAGGAGCCTTTGTTTCTTTTTCCTTCACGTCCTGCCCCCGGCATCTGGAACATCCAGGATCTGCTTTCTACGTGGGACATGTTTGTCGTGGCAGAGAGTGGCGTGGCTGCATTTTGGAAACCAGGTGCAGGTGACCTCCTCCCACATTGGACTCAGGCCTTGTGGGCAGGTGATCCTGCCCCTAGTGGTGCAGAAATTTCAGGTCCTGGGGAATTTGCAGCCGCACCTGGGCACAGGCTGCACAGTGGTTCACACCCAAAGCTGTTTACACAGAGCAGGTGGTTAACACAACGGGTCAGGGTTGGATGGGCCTGAGGTGCCCTGCTGCGTGACCATGGGTGGTCGCCTCCTTCCTGTTTCCAGAGCTGGGATGACACACCCCCGCTCCAAGGGCACCAGGAGGCCCAGTGTCACAGGAGGCCCGGCCTGAGGGCAGGTGGGCTGCTTCCCCCAGGCTCCTCTGCCTCACGGTTCCATCTCTGTTCATGTCTCAGCGGGACCCACAGTCCAGAAGCTGCGATCAAGGCCTGGTCTGCAGGGCAGAAGGCCCTGGTCCAGGAGGTCTTACCTGGTGAGTAGCTGGATGTTGGACCACATCACTCAGTTGATTTTTCTACAACTGACAAGATCAGAAAGGCAGGACTTTAAGTTAGGCGGACGGGGGACGGGCACTGTGGGGAGAGGTGAACGTTGAGTCAGAACCAGAGACGGTGCCGTGGGCTTCCTGGAGCACATAGGGGATGCCTCCCGAGTATGGAGCCAGCAGGGTCACAGCCTGGGGACTGAGGGCGACTGTGAAGATGGGGATGTGGCAGAGGTTGCTGATGGCTCCTGTGTCCCTGGAGGAGCAAATGCCTTGGAATAATCCCGGATGTGGCCAGTGTTTGTCACTCCCATGATTAGGTTCAGCTGCACAAACAGAAACCCAAAATGACAGGGTCTAAAACAAGACAGACGGGCATCTTAGTTCACATAGGGAAGCCTGGAGCTTGGCGTCCCTGTGACATTCATGTGCAGGTCACTGGTGACCAGGGAGGCTTCCGCCCCCGCTCACGGCCCCCGTTCTCCCTCCCAAAGCGGCTGCTGGAGCTCCAGCCTTCACACCTTGCCATTCCCCAGCTGGCAGTGAGGTTTCCAGAGGCTCTCAGACACCCCTCCTGCTCACATATCTTCAACTCCAACTTCCCTGACCACTACACGGCTGCAGGGGAGTCTGGGACACGTGTCAGTAATTCAGGTGGCCGTGTTCCTACCTGAACGTCTCCGGTGAGGCACAGACCAGCCACTGCGAGAGGGAGGAGAAGTTGCTCTTGGCTGTGACAATGTGGCAGAACAGAGCTTCTTGGCCAGAGCCCTGAAGCCTTTGTAATGTCCTGGATGGTGAAGGTCTCCTGTCTGGACTTGGACCTGTGTTCCTAACACAGAGCTCCTTGGAATTTCCTGGGTGATAAGAACGCCTTTTGTTCCAAAGCAGTGGCTCTCGGTGAGTCCTGGATAGCTTTGGGACCGGTCACCTGAAAGACCAGACCTGGATTAGGGGCTTGGGACGCTCAGTCCCAGCCCGCATTGTCCAGGGAGGCGAACGGGCCAGAACTAGAGTTAGGAACTGATCATGTCTGCGTGACGAAGCCACCACAAAACCCCAGAGAGCTTCCGGGTGGGGAGCACGCCCCTGGCTGGGAGGGCGGTGCCCGGACCCCAGGGGGGTGAGGGGTCTATGCTCCAGAATCCTCCGGACCTCGGCCCTGTGCCTCTGCGCCCGTGTCCTAGATCACAGCCTCTACTAGAATAAGCCAGGACGCGTGCGTGCGTGCTTCCCTGAGTTCTGGGAGCTGCTCTGACAGATTACTGAGCCTAAAGAGGGGGCCGGGGCCCCTGCTACCGCTGGCCGGTCGGAAGCGCAGGTGACAACCTGGAGCCCACCACTGGCGTGTGAAGCGGGGGCCGTCCCACTGGGCCTGGCCCCTGTGGGGTCTGACGTCCTCTCCGGGCAGACGGAGTCGGCACTGAGCTGGAGCACGGCACACCGAGCTGGTGTGGGAAGTGAGCGTGAGTGTGCGTGCGGGAGGGCAGGGCTCCTCCTGGGCCAGGGCTTGGACCCACAGCCCCTGTCACAAGGACTTCACCCTTCTTTCCTCTGGTGAAGAGGGGACGCCCCCAAGAGGGGGGGACGCCCTGATTACCGGGGGAAGGAGGACAGAGGGGTGAGGGGCAGCAGCTCTGACCCTGTGGGGAGGTGCGGCCAGGGAGAAGGGGTCCAAGTCAGACGTGAGGAGGACAGAGGAGAGACGAGTGGACAGACAGACCCCAGGCAGCTGCCTCTCCCGCAAAGGGAAAGCTGTGTGCGGGAGAGCAGGGTCCAGCAGGTGTGAGAGGACATGGCCAGCCTGCCACCCCACCGGCAGGAGATGCCGCACAGGCCGTGGGCACATGGACCTGGAGTCTGGGGAGACGACGCTCCCTCAGGCTGCTTCTGGAGAGCAGAGGTCAGTGCTCGGAGCCGAGGGGTCATCGCCAGGAGCAGGGTGGCAACGCTGGGGAATAAGAGCCTGGATGGAGCCAGGAAGCTGAGGCTGCCAGGTCAGGAGGAGGCTGGCCAGGCCAGAGGAACAAAAACAAAAACAGGAAAATGTGGTGAGCTGCAGCCAGATGGGAGATGTTTCGGGAAGGAGTGAGACCCACTGCCACCAGGCAAAATTAGAGGGTGATGGAGAAGGGGCCTTGCCACACAGCCACGTGAGGGAGGCGTGGGGCAGGCCGGCCCTTGTGGTCGACAGGTAACTCTAACCCCTCCTGAGCACCACTGGTCTACATCGCTTAAAATTCCTTAAACCGAGGACTGCAGTTCCCCTGGGGTCACTCGAGGGTTCCTCCGCCTGCCCCACCTCTTGGGGACACAGAGGTGTCACAACTCACCCTAATTGTTTACTTTTCCTTCAGATAGAGCCCACGAAACACGAATTTTAATAGCAAAGCTGTGACCACCAGAGCTGTTCACTTCAGCGCAGTTCTCAGGTCTAAACAGAACCCCTTCTCCACGGGCGGGGCTTCGAGCTGGTCTGTTCTGGTGCCCACCTCAGTCCAGGCTGGGGCCATCTGGGCCCCCGGAAACGCAAGCAGGACAGAACAGTGGGGCACACACCAGCTGGAGTCAAGTGAGGAGAAGGTGGAGGCAAAACCGCACCTGAAGGACGCGCATACACAGCATTTTCTCCCCATCCAGTTGCAGGAGCCACACGTCCACCAGTGAGGGACCAGGACCTCCTCTGAGACTCATCACAGATGGAGTCCCACAGCATGAGAGGGCCTTCCCGACAAAAGGCCTCGTGGGAGGGGGTACACCTGTGTCCCCAGCGGGGTCTGGAGGGCCCGCACAGAGGTCAGACGCAGCCCCTTCAGGCCTGCCTGGGGGAGACCCTGGGGCGGGGCTGGGTCAGCTCCCCGACCCTCCTCCCTGTGGGGACGTGGTGACAGAGCTCGAGGCTGTGATGCTTGGCAAGGATTTTGGGAGCAGATATAATCATGGATGATCAAGGGCAGCCGATGTCAGAGTAGACTTCATCTCCTTTACAGTATGGTCTGCACCGGAGCTACCCACGATGTTGTGGGAAATGCAGGCTCCTGTGGCCCACGGAACAGAGTCAATGGTGGGGGCCGACAGTCTGCATTTAGCAGACTCCCTCAGGCGACTCCCGCGTTCGCTGGCGGTCAAAAACCGAGGGTATTCGTTAGTGGCTGAGGCCACGAGCGCTGGGTGAGGCTGCACCTGTTCCCAGCGAGCGACCCCGAGCGGGAGTCTCTGCTCCCCTGTGCATACGCCAGACATTCCACAGCTGGTGTTTATTCCTCACGGGTCTGGAGGCGCGAGATCAGGGTGCCAGCAGTCAAGAGAGGGCCCACTTCCTGGTCAGGGACGGCCGTCTCCTTGCTGCACCCTCATTTGGTGGAAGGGGCGGGGGGACCCCCGTCTCTCCTTACAGGGGCACTAGTCCCGTTCATGAGGGCCCTGTCCTCAGGGCCTAGTCAACTCCCAAGGGCTCCACCTCCAAATGCCATCACGTTGGGGTTAGGACTTCACCCATGAATTTTGGGGACGTGCACATTCTGCCCAATGCAGCAGCTAAGCCTCATATCAGACAAAAAAAAAAATTAAAACAACCATTTTATAGCTCAGGTCACTGAAAACTTCCAGGAGTTGGACTGTGGGGGACAGACGGACCTAGAGGTCCACAGAAGGGACCCACCTACCCCCATCCTCCCTCCCCCCAGAACTGTCCCCTTGGTTTGACTTTGCTCCCCAGAAGTCCCCCCAAAAGTGTCACCCAGACCCGCCCAGGCTACCTCTCCCTGGAGCCGGCCATCTCAAAAAGCACGCCTCTCCTCTCTGCTCAGACCTGTGGTCCTGTCAGCTGGAGAGGTCTGTCTCCAAGGCTCGGGGGCGCATGCTCACCCAGACCCCTCACACGTCGGAGGGACCAGGGTCTCTGGCGGGGGTCCCTCGGGTCCTGCAGAGCTGCGGCGGTCCCTGGCCCACCAAGACTGGGGGCGAGGGACTCCAGGCCCCCACCCCTCGCAACTCCCTCAGCAGCTCCATTTTGATGTTCTATCCACTTTCACTTATAGGTCCTCGTCCTTTTAAAAAAGGCATAAAATCATTGAATCGAAAACACTTATATGTTGAAAATCAAGAGGGTTATTTTCAAGGGGAAATGCACGTGAGCTGCCCCTGCCCCAGGGGGAAACCCTGTTTGTGTGGAATCTTTGGATGTGGCTTTTGTCGAAAAAAAGCCTCCTGGGGCTGGTGCTGCCACCCGGGACACAGGTGCGCCTGTCCCAGCTGAGGCCCCAGCCTTGTCGTCCCCAGTGCGTTAGGCCGTCGAGCAGCGTCCTCTTCGGGTGGGTTCCGGCCTGGCTTCTAGTAGCACCTACACCACTGCCAGAGGAGGAAGGGGGACCCTGACTCTGTGCAGCTAAGACTCCCATTAACGTTCTAAGATTTCCATTAATGTTCGCTCTGACCTTTGCTAATCCAGCATCGTTAGCCCTGCATAGGCTTCGAAATCTCCTTAATGCCAGAAGCAGGACTGTGTCTGCTGTGCTTGCTTAACGAGTCGTGAAACAAGCTGGTGGGTGATTTGCTCCTGCCGTCAAGCCCCCGTAAGTGACGGCCAGGACGGGGGCGGGGAGTGCATCTTGTCACCAGACAACAGCTGGAGGCACTGGTTTCCCTCATCACA